TCATTCATCTCATTCATCTCATTCGTCTCATTCGTCTCATTCATCTCATTCATCTCATTCATTTCATTCATTTCATTCATTTCATTCATTCCATTCATTCCATTCATTCCATTCTTCAATTCATTTATTCTTTCCATTCCTTTCCATTCCCTTTCATTTTCATTTCATTTTCATTTTCATTTTCATTCATTCATTCATTCATTCTATCCATCTATCAATCAATCAATCAATCTATCTATCTATCTTTTGAAGTTATCAGTTAGAAGTTGTGAAATACATATGTGCGGTAGCGCTGCACAGACACCGTTCCCGTACGTCGTGGGCCCTAAGCTGGAGCTTGCTAAGGCTAAGGCTAAGGTTCGAGAGCTCCACTGGTCAAGAACTGCAGAAATGTCCCAAACAGTCAAGAAGGCCTCATGAACTGTGCTGGATTGCAAGGGCCAGGACTCTGGGAGGGGAGGCCAGGTGGGCAACATCCTCGAGCTGCTTCTTGCGCCGATTGCACAGATGCCCCTCCCTGCATGCTGCAGGGCTCAAGCTGCAGCTTACGAAGGTTAGAAGCTCGAACTGTCACGCACTGCACTGCAGAAGCCTCCAAAAAAAGGTCAAGCAAACCTTTTCGCTGGATTGAAATTGAAAAGGCTATCCACTCCTAAAACTCTGCGTTGAAAACTCAACAATGTTTTGGAAACCAGTCGCCCGAGTACAAGACTCAAGGTCTGGGGCGACAATCTGAAAGCAGCTTCGCTGCAACTTCTTGAACATGACATTCCCAACCTGTCGAAAAATGCTTTGAACATGGCTCTCGCGCCAAGTAGCCTAGTTCAGATTGAACTCTGATCGTAAGGCTTGTGTTTCCTCGAGAGGGCACATCAGCCATGTTCCTAGCTGACCTGCCGTGAACAACTGAGCGCCACAGAACACATACAGCTTTAGATGAACTGCGGCCCTTTGCCGCGCCCACCACCGTATCCCAGCTGGCCAAAACATGTACCAACGGGCTTCTAGGATGGGTCTTGCGCCAATGTTTCAGCCAGCACATGTAAATGCCACATTCAAGGCCATTGACGAGTCCTTTTCTCTTGAATGCATACCTGAACAACGCTGGAAACTCAAGCCTCTCACAATGGTTTTCGATCCAAGCTAAGAAAAAGTGATCTCAGGTGTGCGCGAGCCTGATGAAGCCCGGAGTTGCAAAGCTGTCTTGCACCCTGCAGCAGTATGGAACAGGAGGGCCCCACCAGGAACCTCTGCGTGAAAGTCAACTCCCACACAAAGCCCCGGGCCACCACCTGCACCTCCCTGTGGGTCCACTGGCCTTGAAACCTTTACAGCGCTTCGGCAAAATTCGACCGCGCCTGCGATATGCCTCACGCACCTGCTC